TGAGACAACTGGTCTATGTGGGACACTGAGACACGGGGACACTGGGACAAGGGGTCGTGAAGACACGGGCCCTGCTGGGAACACGTGGAAAGACTGAGACAACGTGTCCATGTGGGACATTGAGACAGGGGGACAAGGGGTCGCGAAGACACGGGCCCTGCTGGGAACACGTGGAAAGACTGAGACAACGTGTCCATGTGGGACACTGAGACACGGGGACACTGGGACAAGGGGTAGTGAAGACACGGGCCCTGCTGGGAACACGTGGAAAGACTGAGACATCGTGTCCATGTGGGAGACTGAGACACGGGGACGCTGGGACAGGGGGTCGCGGAGACACGGGCCCTGCTGGGAACACGTGGAAAGACTGAGACATCGTGTCCATGTGGGAGACTGAGACACGGGGACGCTGGGACAAGGGGTCGCGGAGACACGGGCCCTGCTGGGAACACGTGGAAAGACTGAGACATCGTGTCCATGTGGGAGACTGAGACACGGGGACGCTGGGACAAGGGGTCGCAGAGACACGGGCCCTGCTGGGAACACGTGGAGACACTTGAGACAAGGTGTCCTGGCGGAGATCGGCACGGTGACACTGAGACTCTTCATCCTGAAGTCAAGGAGACACGGGGATACGCGGAGAAAATTACATGAAGACACGGCCCTTCTCGGGGACACGGAGACACGGGGACACTGAAACTCGCAGAGACATGCGGTGATACGGAGACACGGGCTGTGTTGCTGTGTGTCTTCAGTGACTGTGATTACATGCGAAATGTGTACAGTTTACAACAATGTGTATTCTTTCTGGCACTAAAACAGTTGTACTCTTTGGTTTTTTGGGTAAAGTCACGTAGGTAGAAAATAATAGATCACTGTGATCTATTACGATAAAACAGTTGCGTTAAGATGTTAAAACACCAAACAGAATCCCTTTTCAAGGAATCCTGTCACTGCATTAACCACACGTACTTGTGGTGAACATGCAACAAAAAAAACATGCTCTGATTAAATATGCATTGTATTTCCAGAAAGGGTAAAACCTATTGTTATATGTTGATATACTGGCAAGAAAGCGCCCATATTATGTACTGTTTATTTAGCGAATGCTTTTACACGTCACTTTAACACAATTAGAGCAGCAGATACACAAGATAAATAATACGTAAGTACATATGTATGCCGATGTTCTGTGAGTGGACGCCAGCCCACGTAGTAGCCACGGAGTCATGTGACAGCCTCCTAGTTGTTTGTTGTAGTACAGAGTTAGACTGATGGCCTTAATCTAAGTTGTCTTGTGGTTGTTGTTGTTTGACTTGCATCCCACTGGGATATTTGCACAGGGTTGGTGTACGGTGATTTTTCTGCAATATTTTGCTGTTTTTTCTTGGATTTTCTGTTTGCACATAGTCACTTTAAGATGTTTTCTTGTTCATGTTTTTGTTTTTTGTTTGCTGCGGTTGCACCTCATTCAAGAGCCGAATGGCTCACAGGGCTATACCTAATAAATGAACTTTGAACTTTGGTGGTAAATCTTGACTTAAAGCTTTCGTGACTGCAGGAATTCATATTCTTTGGGTCTTTCGGGAAAGTCACGTAGATAGGTTGAAAGAAAATAACAAAAAACTACGACGTTTCGATCACAACACAAGCCATCGTCTCCTCCTGATGACCATCGCTTGTGTTGTGATCGAAACGTCGTAGATTTTTGTTATTTTCTTTCAACCTCTTCTTGGTTCTTTCGGTAAAGTCACGTAGAAGGGAAATAATAAAATAATAAAAATAAAACACAATAAAATAATTATCACGACGTTTCGGCCGCAACGCAAGCAGCCGTCCTCAGGTGAAGAACAGGTCTGTCTTTCCGACAGACGCTGTCTTACCGACAAACCTGTTCGCTTTAAACTATTGTCATTGTAGTGCGTTTTTAATGTGGCGCTGCACTCTGATGTTGTAGGAGAAAACATTTATTAAAAAGTCTATTTATTTAAGTAGAACGTGTTGTCTATATTTATTTAAAGTTGCGCATTTTGACGTGACGTCACATTTCTCACCCCCCCCCCCCCTCGTCACACATCGTCACACATGTCTGACCCCCCCACCCCCTTAGGTGCGTGACGTCATTTATGGACGGCCCCAAACTCGCTCGCAGTACCTTGCCCATCAATCATCACCTTTGCGGGCTACACGGCGGATCTTTGTCTTTTAATATCAGTGCTGCCCCCTACCGTGTTCGCGTGAGATACCAGGTCGCTATCCATAACTTTTGTCAACTTGGGGGACAATATTTGGCGGTTGCGATTTTTCTTTCTATAATCCGGTTACAATACATCGAATCAATCAATACTAACACCGCACGCCGAGGGTGATGTGTGATAACCGATACATGTGTGTCCCTGGTGACAAGGTTGAGACCATCACAAAAGCTTCAAATCTAGAAGCATCAAGTCACCCCACTCAAAACTTAAATCTGAGTCTATGAGTCTTTGTTACGAGTTTTTATGCGAGTACGTGAGTCTCTCAGTTAGTCTGTGGATCTCTGAGTCTATGGGTCTCTTTGTGAGTTTATAGGTCTCTATGTTAGTCTATGGATCTCTGAATCTATGGGTCTCTGTGAGTATACGGGTTTGTGTGTGAGTTAGTCTTTGGGCATCTACGTTGAGTATGTAACTCGATGTAAGTCTATGTATGGGTCTCTACGTTAGTCTATGGACCTTTGAGTCTATGGGTCTCTATGTGAGTCTATGGGTGCCTGTGTGAGTCTATGGGTCTCTGTGTGAGTCTATGGGACTTTATGTGAGTCTATGGGTCTCTTTGTTGTGGAGTGACTCATGCAGCCAGCTATGGCTGCAGGGTTTGAAGGTACATGTTGTTTATGTCGTTTATTGTGAAAATTCGGTCACAGTTCCTATGATCACCGTTACATTGCTTTTATGGCTTTTTTTGGTGATTTCGAAAACTTTTTTGGTTTGGCCATGTTTGTTTGTTGTAGTACAGAGTTAGACTGATGGCCTTAATCTAAGTTGTCTTGGCGTGCCGTGGTGTGGGGTGATGATGCCCCTCACCCCACACCACCACCACCACCCCAATGGTGGAGACGAACGACCAAGAGGGCGAGCCACAAACATCGCCTCGTCGCTCGGGGCGATAGGTCTCACGGGCGGGGAACTCGGCTCGCCTACAGACTATAATCTGCTGCCACATGAACGTGGAATGTCCACCACTGGCGCTGCACGGGCTGGCGAAGAGCAGCGACGTCTCGATGCTGCTCGTCTGAGCAGTGGGGCGCTCGTTGAGAGATGGTGACGGTCCAGCAGGGGATAGAGCATGGCTGCCGAGGCCTAGGCCTGAGCCCTGCCCTCCCGGCTTTCCTGAGCGTCCTGCCCAGGGTCCACGGCTGGAGGTGGGGGGAGGCTTCTAGGCAAGAGCGAGGCGCCTGCTCGGCCTATGCCTGGCAATAATAACGCAATAATTTTGAGACGTAGGAATTTAGAGGTACAAACAACAACATTGGGGGGGAAGTGATGAGTTTTGACTGAGGCGGGTCGCCTTTGTATGCAGTTTTATTTTTATTGTCAAACGCCGTCATTATGCATAACAAAGCAGCCGTGTCGGGAATTGCCAAGGCGACCGCGGCGAGACTCGAATTGCACAAAGTTTAAACATCTTACACTGGGAACAAAGTTGCCGGAGCATTCGCAAGCAAAGTTGTGAGCAACTCTAACTCGGTTGCATTCGTCATGATTGATAGACTGAGCAGCGCGAAAACAATGTCAACAAAACGAATTGCGAATGTTTAAACATCTCCGCGCTAAGGGTGTCACCACCCAGTGTGGAGTTACATCTGTAACTAACTCGTTGTGTGTGTGTCTGTGGACAGCACAAAGATCTCCCCCCCCGTGTCGTCTCTAATGGATTGTTGGGGAGAATGCTGTTAGCGAGCGCCTATTAAGGCCGTCACGGCACACGGAAGAGGGGTGGGTGGCCAGCACCACGCCCGGCCGCCTTTGTCTCCCCAGTGGCAATGTTTACACACCGCACCAGGTACTCATTTGAGGCTGAGTCGACCTAGGGGAGGCCCAGGACCGGTTCAGATAATCGTCACTGATGTTGGCCGTGAGCGGGAATCAAACCCGGGTCGCCAGGTTCGTAGCGCAGCGCGCTAACCGCTACACCACCGCTCCCCAGGTACACAGTTACACACACACACGCACACCTGTACAGGTGTACGCACACCTGTACAGGTGTACACACACGGGTACACACACCTACACGGGAGCGTTGCATAGGTAACGGGAGTCTCGTCTATTCTGCAGCACTCCCGGCGTCTCTCAGTGGCACTCTGTTCAGAACCACTCTCCAATCGGAACCACGACCTTTTTAGAACCACTCACCTCACCAATTCATCTCTCTCTTCCCCCCTCACCTGTATATCTCCCATATTCTCCCCTCACTACTTTACCCCCTCCCCTATTACCTCCTCTCGTTCCATTGCCTCTCCCTTGCCCTCCCCTCTTTATTGCCTCACCCCACTCACCTTACCTCTTCATTTCCCAACCACCTTTCCCCTCACTATCCCATTCCCACCTCTTAATCTCCCCCTCCCCCCTCCTTACATCTTTCTCTCCCACTATACTCTCACCTCTTTACCCCCCCCCCCCACCATCTTCCACACTCTCACCTCTTCACCCCCCCAGCCCCCCCCATCTTCCCCACTCTCTTATCACCTCTTCACTCACCCATAACCTCCCTCCATCGTCTCCCCGCTTCATCCCGCTTCATCCAGTCTCCCTCACCTCTTCACCCCTCTCCCCCCATCTCCTCTCACCTCTTCACCCCCCCATCTCCCCCACTCTCACCTCTTTACTCACCCATAACCTCCCTCCACCTCTTCACCCCTCCCCCCATCTCCTCTCACCTCTTCACCCCCCCCCCATCTCTCACCTCTTCACCCCCCCCCCCCATCTCTCCCACTCTCCTCTCACCTCGTCACCCCCCCCCCACGTCTCCCCCCTCGTCTCCCCCCTCTCTCTGGCGCCACTAAACCAGTAGCCTCCGCGCCTCCTCTCCGAGTGGACACCGCTGCTGTGCTCACAGCGCCAATGAAACGAGAGTGTTGCTCCATAAGGCCATGGTGAACTTAAACGCGTCAATGTTTTGCATCAATGTACGACCTCCCGGAGCGGCACCCAAACCCTAGGATCAGGGATCAACCGAAAGTTGAACGGCGAAAGGTTGCACGCAACATTTCTGTTGTTGCACGCAACATTGCTGTTGTTACGCGCAACATTGATGTTGCGTGCAATATGGTGGTTGTTGTTGTGACGTGCCACTTGGTTGTCTATTTTTCGTTGTTCTACACGAGTTACAACACGGTACAGTTGCCAGTTACTCAACAACACAAAGCAACTTTGTTGAATCCCGCTTTCAAATCACGGACAATTTGTTTCGGCATTAAATACTGACGTTTTCCTCTCCAGGTGATGCCAACTGTCTAGTTATCAGCATCACGTGGTCACGAGACATGCATCTCGCACAGAACGGCCTGCGGAAGCGGATTTCGCAGAACTACCGCTGAGACCCCTTCTCTAGGTGACCGCGAGTCCACACACGGCAGACAGCGGCGCATCTTCACTCGCCCTGCCGTGCTGAGGGTAATGTTCGTCGCGTGACTGACGAACGGATATTTGGTAGTTCTCAGAAATGTAATTCGGCCAAATTAAGAATCACGGTCAAATTTAGATAGCACAACGCAGAGACAATGTTGCAATCAACAACATCGCAAGAAAGTTGCACCATTCAACTTTGGGTTTCGGGGTTAAGAGCAGTGTGTAATTTGGAAATAGGGATAGGGTCAGAGTTAAGGGCTGGGGTAAGGTTTTTGGCTAAGTTTAGGCGTTGAGGAAAGGATTAGATTTCGATTTATGGTCGGAGTTGGGGTTGGGGAAAGAGTTTTTTGGGTTAGGGTTATATATTAAAAAATAAGATATTAGTGAGATGATTTTTGAGTCGGGGTGAGGGGGATAATTTGGGGGATTTGTGGAATAGGGGGTGAGAGGAATAGGGGGGTAAGTGCGAAAATAGAGGGTGAGTGATGGTATAAGGGGGTACGTTGGAAGAGTGGGTGGATGACTTTGGGGATTTTGTGGATGATATGGGATGGGGTGAAAGGAATAGATGAGGGGGGATAAGGGGATGAGTGTGCGGGTCAGGGTTGGGTCTCTCCGCATGGGCGGGTGGTCTCGTGGGACGTGGCATGCGTGCGCAGCGACACGCGGCACTCACACCATCCCTGCGTCGCTCCCACAACCGCTGTGTAGTAGACCCGAGAGCCGTGCAGATCCGTTCCAACAGTGCATCCAGCAGCGGCTCATGTTTTATACCCCTGCATTTCAATAGCCGCCCGGTTATGAATACACTGCCCCTGCCCATCCATCCCCTCCCTCCAGTGAGTTCTGGATCAATCACCTCGGGTGCAGCGATGTAGGAACAGGGTTTTCTCCGCCTCAGATATGGACACGGGATTCCAGCTGCCCGAGTGACAGTGTGAGCAGCCACACGGCCCCGGCGTCTCTGGGAACTCAGGCTCTGCCAAATTTGCTGGTTCACGAAACGGACCAGCCTGCTACTCGGTGGTTGTGCGAACGTGGCAGCACTCAGGCATACACTCACACGCAGACACACAGAAATACACAAAGATCCTCCATGTATCCTACACAGGCTGTTGGTGCAAATTTTGTTAGCAAGCACCTATGAGAGGGGTGGTATGGTGACCATCACGCCTGGCCACCTTTGTCTCCCCAGTGCTGATTTTTTTTTTATTTACACCTCACCGGGTACTCATTTAAGGCTGAGTCGACCTAGGGTGAGACCCAGCACCACCAGTTTGGATAATCGCCACTGATGTTGGCCGTGCGTGAGAGAAAGAATCGAATTTGGGTTGGCGTGTTTGTAGCGCTTTGCGCTAATCATCATGCCACCACTCCCCACCTACACCCACACCGACGCACACACATGCACACACACACACTCCCATTCCGCGTGTCACTCTACATTATACTCCATGTACATCCTCCTACATCCATAAAGTAACACAGGGTAACATACAGCTGACATACAGCTAACATACAGCTAACGCGAGCTAACAGACAGATGACATACAGGTGACATATAGGTGCGTGCAGTGTAAACATGCAACGAGGGGGGGTCACTGAGAAACCCCGTGAGACCCCTAAGACCCCCATGATAACCCCCTCATTACCCCCCGAGACCCCCTTGGAAGCCCCCCACCCCCTCTTTTAGGGGATCATTTGCAGGTCCACGAATGACCCTGGCGTCGTGGTGGAGCCGGGGAACGGGGGGGGAAGTCAGGGCCCAGGCCCCCTTAATCTGAAATGACACGATGGGGGAGGGAGAGGAGGGAGGAGGGGTCAAGGTTCACGTTAACTATGTTGTGAGTGTGTAATTGTGAGTGCGTGAGCATGTCCGTGTGTGAGTCCGTATGTGTGCCAGTGCGTGTGTGAGTCTTCCAGGTGTGTGAGCGAGTGAGTCAGTGCTCAGTGTCAGTGCTCGTTACAGTGTGTGTCTGTTATCATGTCAGTGTATACATGTGTGAATGTGTCTGTGTGAGTGTGTCTGTGTGATTGTGTCTGTGTGAGTGTGTCTGTGTGAGTGTGTCCGTGTGTGTGTGAGTGTGTTTGTGTGTCTGTGTGAGTGTGTCTGTGTGAGTGTGTCTGTGTGAGTGTGTGAGTGTGTCTGTGTGAGTGTGTCTGTGTGAGTGTGTCTGTGTAAGTGTGTCTGTGTGAGTGTGTCTGTGTGAGTGTATACATGTGTGAGTGTGTCTGTGTGAGAGTGTGTGTGTCTGTGTGTCTGTGTGAGTGTGTCTGTGTGAGTGTGTCTGTGTGAGTGTATCTGTGTGAGTGTGTCTGTGTGTGCGAGTGTCTTGAGCAGTTAGCACACTGTGCTAAGAACCCAGCGATCTGAGTTCGATTCTGGCTCACGGCCAACATCAGCGACGCTACCTCAACCGGTTCTGGGCCTCCCCTAGGTCGACTCGGCCTCAAAATAGTACCTGGTGCGATGTATAAACATCGCCATGAGGGAGACAAAGGCGGCTGGGTGTGGTGCTGCTGACCCATCTATGTGCGGTGCCAGCCTTCGTAGGTGCTCGCTAACGGCACTCGCCCCTACAATCTCTCAAGGCCATACGGGAGATCTTTGTGTCACCGAGCGTGTCACCGAGCGTGTCACCGAGCGTGTCACCGAGTGTCACCGAGCGTGTCACCGAGCGTGTCACCGAGCGTGTCACCGAGCGTATCACCGAGCGTGTCACCGAGTGTCACCGAGCGTGTCACCGAGTGTGTCACCGAGCATGTCACCGATTGTGTCACCGAGTGTGTCACCGATTGTGTCACCGAGCGTGTCACCGAGCGTGTCACCGAGCGTGTCACCGATTGTGTCACCGAGCGTGTCACCGAGCGTGTCACCGATTGTGTCACCGAGCGTGTCACCGAGCGTGTCACCGAGTGTCACCGAGTGTGTCACCGAGCGTGTCACCGAGCGTGTCACCGAGCGTATCACCGAGCGTGTCACCGAGTGTCACCGAGCGTGTCACCGAGTGTGTCACCGAGCGTGTCACCGATTGTGTCACCGAGTGTGTCACCGATTGTGTCACCGAGCGTGTCACCGAGCGTGTCACCGAGCGTGTCACCGATTGTGTCACCGAGCGTGTCACCGAGCGTGTCACCGATTGTGTCACCGAGCGTGTCACCGAGCGTGTCACCGAGTGTCACCGAGTGTGTCACCGAGCGTGTCACCGATCGTGTCACCGAGTGTCACCGAGTGTGTCACCGATTGTGTCACCGAGTGTGTCACCGAGCGTGTCACCGAGTGTGTCACCGAGTGTGTGCTCACACGCATCGGGGGCCGTGCTGTGAGGTGCCCCCGTGGCCCCTCCCTTCACAGGGCTGCTGGAGGGGGGAGGAGTTGGGGGGGGCACGGGGGAAGGGGGGGGGCCCTCCTGACTCGAGCCCAGATGCAGCCTCTGCATGTGCCGCACCACGGCCGTGGCATTGAACGCGCGCTGGATAGGGGGGGGGAAGCACAGGGGGCAAAGGGGGCACGGGAGAGAGAGTTAAAATCCATTCTCACGCTGTCACACGGAAGCTCTCTCCGTCCATCTGTATCGAATCAAAGTTAAATGTGTGATTGTATATTTCATCTCTCCGATCGTTTACCCAGGAAAGCGTCACTGAGTCTCGTGACTCTTTTTTGTTCCACGAGGGTCCTGCCAATACAGGAGGGGTGGGGGGGCGATTTGTTTTTGCGTAGCTCCCCAGCCGAGGATTCCACACAGAGTTGATCCAACAAAGTTGAGCTGAACTTGCAGTGTGTGTTAAGTCGTGTTGATCCACTGAACCTCGGCGTGGAAAGCCTGCAGACAGTGAGCAAAGCTGCTCCATCCTCCCTCCTACTCCTCCTCCCTCATCCTCCCTCCTCCTCTCCCTCCTCTGGAGAGTGCACGTGGGGATCCCAGCGTCGGCGCTCATCGCCACGAGGAAGTACCACCTCCTCACAGTACCGTAGGGCGACCTCCTCCTCGACACGTCCGTCAATGGGCCTTGTTCTTCTTCATAGCACGTACAGCTATTCATTTACGTGCCATGAAGGGCCATTGCCTAAAACGTCGACGAGCGAAGTTCACGGAAACGGTGGAACAGGGGGGGGGCACCACTGTGTTGCCAAACTTTGCCAAAGTTTGAAAAATGACACTGCAAGCGACTCGGCCGTGGTTGCTACGCGAACCGACGACGCATGGCAACCACGGCCCCCGACTACGCAGAACGTGGCAGGACCCTCCTGCAGAAGCGCCTTGAGACTCGCTAGAGCGGCACGCGCCGGGGGGGAGGGCAGGGGGGTGCGGTGCCCCCTCTACGACCCCAGCAACTGCTGCGGGCTTGCATCGTGCTCCCACACTGTGACTTAGGCCACCGCTCCGTTTGCACATCGGCACGCGGTCCTGAGTGGTCCGAGGACCCTGAACTAGGGAGGTCCCCCCCACCCTCTACACTCCCCCCACCCCCTACTCCCCCCCCCACCCCCTACACCCCCCCCCACCCCCTACACCCCCCCCCGCCCACTACACCCCCCCCTGCCCCCTACACCCCCCCCTGCCCCCTACACCCCCCCCTGCCCCCCCACCCCCTACTCCCCCCCCCACCCCCTACTCCCCCCCCCACCCCCTACTCCCCCCCACCCCCTACACCCCCCCCACCCACTACACCCCCCCCTGCCCCCTACACCCCCCCCTGCCCCCTACACCCCCCCCTGCCCCCCCACCCCCTACTCCCCCCCCCACCCCCTACACCCCCGCCCCATCCCGAACCTTCCACTTGCGCTTGGCGAAGTTCTTGCGAATCTGCGCGCTCACAGACTCGTGGATGTTCTTGTCGAGCGCCGTGTCCCCGGCGATCCTGGGGGGGGGGGCGGAGGGGGGGGGGCGTCACGGCGATACTGGATGTGGTGTGCACACAGCGTTGCAGTGCATTGTGGGTTGCTGGCAGAGATTGGGGTGGGTGGCACGTGACGAGTAACAACTGCAACAGGATCTTCGTGCGAGGTGGAATACTGGATGTGGTGTGCCGGGTGTGTGTATGTATGTGTATATACTGTGGGGAGCGGTAGTGTAGCGGTTAGAACGCTGCGCTACGAACCCGGAGACACGGCTGTGACTCCCGCTCACGGTTAACACCAGTGACGATAATATGAACCGATCCTGGGCCTCCCCTAGGTCGACTCAGCCCGGTGCAGCGTGTAAACATCACCACTAGGGAGACAAAGGCGGTCGGGCGTGGAGCTGGCCACCCACCCTGTCGCGTCCTGTGCCGGCCTTGATAGGTGTTCGCGAACTGCACTTGCCCCAACAGTCTGTTAAGGCTATACGGGAGATATTTGTCTTTGCATGTACTGAAAACCTGCTTGTGGTTCAGAGACCCACTCCTCTTTGCTCGGTAGTGGGATCCGATGCAACCCTCATCCACCCTCCTGATCCCCTGAATTGTGTATAATCGTTTATTAATTTTCACCTGGATAATCCCTTGTGTTGGAACATCCTGCCGACAAGCATGAACCTCTTTACCCAGACTGCTCCTCACTCCATCCCTCCCTCCCTCCTCCCCCTCACTCCCCCTCGCTCTCTCCCTCTCTCCCTCGCTCCCCCTCTCTCCCTCTCCCCCCTCTCCTCTCCCCCCTCCCCTCTCTCTTCTCCCTCTCTCTTCTCCACCACTCTCCATCCCTCCCTACCCCCTCTTCCTCACTCCCCCTCTCTCCCTCCCCCTCTCTCCCTCTCATCCCTCCCCTCTCTCTTCTCCCTCTCCCTTCTCCACCACTCTTCATCCCTCCCTACCCCCTCTCCCTCACTCCCCCTCTCTCCCTCTCCCCCCTCCCCTCTCTCTTCTCCCTCTCTCTTTTCCACCACTCTCCATCCCTCCCTCCCTTCTTCCTCCCCCTCACTCCCCCTCGCTCCCTCCCCCTCTCTCCCTCTCCCCCCTCCCCTCTCTCTTCTTCACCACTCTCCATCCCTCCCTTCCTCCTCCTCCTCCCTACCATCTCTCCCTCTCCCCCCTCCCCTCTCTCTTCTCCACCACTCTCCCTCCCTCCTCCCCTTCACTCCCCTTCTCTCCCTCCCCCTCTCTCCCTCCCCCTCTCTCCCTCTCCCCCCTCCCCTCTCTCTTCTCCACCCCGCCCCCCCCCCCCGTTCACTCCCCTGCTCACCACGGGTGCTGCAGCGCCTGCTCGCACGTGAATCGCTCAGCCACGTCCTTCTCCATGAGGTGGCGGATGAAGTCCTTGGCTGTAACAGACGAAATGGTCAGCAGCAGTATCATCAGCATCGTGTTACTTTTCTACGATTTCAACAATTTTTTTTATTTCACCAGGTAAGTCCCACCGAGCTGTGTAGCTATTTTTTCAGAAACGACCCGGCTGTCGCACATGATCGCTCAACGAAGTGGCTCATCGTGTCGAAATGAAGAGCAGTAGTCAAATACTCTCAACGCTTGTTTCTAAATGTAGAGGAAAGACCCGTAAGACCCCAAGAAAAATCCACGCGACCAAGAGGAGAACATGCAAACTCCTAAGATACAGGTGTCAGGGCCGGGATCGAACCCACGACCTCCTGCATACCAGGCGAGGTAGTTAACATCTCACCACGGAGAGAGAGAGAGACACGCAAACTTCAAATATACAGCAGGTGTCAGGGCCGGGATCGAACCCACGACATCCTGCATACCAGGAGAGGGAGTTAACATCCCCTAGCCACCGCAGTTCCCCATTAGACACTGTAGTCACCGCCATTATGCTCATCGTCATCCGTTATCTAACCGCACTGGGTGTGTTCACCACGGTGACCCCTTTGGGGTAAAGATCAGTGTTACGGTGACCCCTTTGTGGGGTATTGGTCAGGGTGAACCCATGGGGCAGAGGTCAGATTCTTCGTGACTTCAATGGGGTAGAGGTCATGTTCACGGTGACCCATTTGGGGGTTATAGGTCAATGTTACGGTGACCCCTGCTGGTGGTGGCCATGGTGAGCCCGTGCGATAGGGGTCGGGGTGACCTCGGTGGCGACCCCGTGACCTCACCAGAGTCGGAGATGTCGTCCCAGTAGGGGGAGTCGAACTCGTATTCGGCCTTTAGGATTTGGTCGAAGAGGCGCGAGTCGACCTCGTCGTAGAACGGAGGGTACCCGCACAACCTGCAGCACCGCACACAGCCACGTGTACCACTGCACTGCCGTGTACAACCGCGCTACCACGCTACCATGTGTACTAACGCACCACCACGTGTACCACCACGTGTACCATGTGTACTAATGCACCACCACGTGTACCACCACGTGTACCATGTGTACTAACGCACCACCACTAGTACCACCGCACAACCTGCAGCACCGCACACAGCCACGTGTACCACCGCACTATCATGTACAACCGCGCCACCACGCTAACGCACCACTGCACTACCGTATTTCAGCACTAGAAAGACAAAGGCGGCTGGGTGTGAGAGTGTGAGTCATTGAGAGTGAACTATTGAGATTGAGTGAATGAGAGTAAGTGAGTGAGTTAATGAAAATGAGTGCGTGAGAGAGTGAGTGAGAGTGCCAGACTCACAGGATATAGGAGATCACTCCGATAGACCAGCAGTCCACAGCGCGCGTGTACGGCTTCTGAGCCAGAACCTCGGGGGCTACACACGCAGGTGAACACACACGGGGGAAACATACACACAGGTGAACAAACAGGTGAACACACAGGTAAACAGAGACAAAGATCCCCCGTAATGCCTGAACAGACATTTGGGGAAAGTGTTGTTAGTGAGCACCTATGAAGGCTGTAACGGCGCACGAGGGGGTGGGTGGCCAGCACCACGCCCGGCCGCCTTTGTCTCCCCAGTGGCGATGTTTAAACACTGCACCAGGTACTCATTTGAGGTTCAGTCGACATTGGTGTTGGCCACGAGGGGGAATCGAACTCGGCTCTCTGGGTTCGTAGCGCGGTGCGCTAACCGCTACACCACTGCTCCCCACACACAGGTGACCACACACGGGTGAACCAAGACACCCATATACACAGGTGACCACACATGCACACAGGTGACACACGTGCACACAGGTGACCACACATGCACACAGGTGACCACACGTGCACACACAGGTACATACCAGTGAACACGTACACAAGTAAACGCACTCAGCGGGGAGGGGTTTGGACCGCCCCCGTGTCCGCTCCATCGTGACGGTGCGTGCGTGTGCCGTACCCACGTATCCCGGCGTGCCGCACGCCGTGGACATCACGCTGCCCGGAGCCTCCACCTTGGAGAGGCCGAAGTCGCTGATCATGATCTTGGAGTCGTCCTCGGCGTTGTAGTACAGCAGGTTCTCCGGCTGGAGGCACGGTCACCGTTAAGTCGTCATCATTATCATCGTTGCGTCATCGTTACATCATCGTTACAATCACTCGGCATCGTCACTTTACATCACTCAACGCCAGCGTGATGTTACGCGGCAACATCATTGTGCGACTTCACTTGATATCACCGTGAGGAGTCGTGAGTGAGTGAGTTGTACGTGAGTCGTGAGTGAGTGGTGAATGAGTGGGTGGTGAGTGAGTGGGTAGATAGTGAGTGGGTGGTGAGTGAGTGGTGTGCGAGTGTTGATGGCGAGTGGGTCGTGCGTGCGTAAGTGGGTGGCGAGTGAGTCGTGGGTGTTGATGAGTGGGTGTTGACGAGTGGGTGGTGAGTGAGTGAGTGAGTGGTGAGTGAGTAGTGAGTGAGTCGTGGGTGTTGATGAGTGGGTGTTGACAAGTTGATGAGTGGGTGTTGACAAGTGAGTGGTGAGTGAGTCATGAGTGAGTAGTGAGTGAGTCGTGGGTGTTGATGAGTGAGTGAGTGGTGAGTGAGTAGTGAGTGAGTCGTGGGTGTTGACGAGTTGATGAGTGGGTGTTGACAAGTGAGTGGTGAGTGAGTCGTGGGTGTTGATGAGTGAGTGAGTGGTGAGTGAGTGAGTCGTGAGTGAGTAGTGAGTGAGTCGTGGGTGTTGATGAGTGAGTGAGTCGTGGGTGTTGACGAGTGAGTGGTGAGTGAATCGTGGGTGTTGATGAGTGAGTGGTGAGTGAGTCATGAGTGAGTAGTGAGTGAGTCGTGGGTGTTGATGAGTGAGTGAGTGGTGAGTGAGTGAATTGTGAGTGAGTAGTGAGTGAGTCGTGGGTGTTGATGAGTGAGTGAGTCGTGAGTGTTGATGAGTGAGTGGTGAGTGAGTGAGTCGTGAGTGAGTAGTGAGTGAGTGGTGGGTGTTGATGAGTGAGTGAGTGGTGGGTGTTGGCGAGTGGGTGGTGAGTGAGCGAGTGAATGGGTCGTGCGTGAGTGGCGGGTGGAGGCTCACCTTGAGGTCGCGGTGCACCACGCCCTGCCCGTGCAGGTGCGAGACTGCGCGCAGCACCTGGCGGATGAGGGCGCTAGCGTCGCGCTCCGTGTAGAAGCCGCGCTCCACGATGCGGTCAAACAGCTCCCCGCCCGACACCCTGCAGCACCCAGCAGCATCAACAACAACACCCAGCAGCATCATCAACAACATCCTGCAGCACCCAGCAGCATCAACAACAACAACATCAACATTCTGCAGCACCCAGCAGCATCGACAACAACAACAACACCCAGCACCATCAACAACAACAACAACACCCAGCACCATCAACAACAACAACACCCAGCAACAACAAGAACAACACCCAGCACCATCAACAACAACACCCAGCACCAACAACAACAACAATAACACCCAGCACCATCAACAACAACAACACCCAGCACCATCAACATCCTGCAGCATCAATAAAAACACCCGATATCAACAACACCACCCAGCAGCAGCATGAACAACAACAACACCCAGGAGCATCAACACCATCTGTTCGTGTCCGCGAAACACAAGGCTTAATTTCCCACTCAAGACCAGTAATGCGGTGATCTCAGCCTTAAATGAGTAGCCGGTGCGGTGGTTGTTACACATCAGCAATGGGGAGACAAAGGTGGCAAGGCGTGGCGCTGGCCACAACAGCAGTGCTGTTGAGCTGCCGGCCGGAAGTATTTGGCCCCAACACTCAGAATAGAGGCAACTGGGGGGGGGGGGGGATCTGTGTGTGTGCGTGACAAGGTCGGGGCTCACAGCTGCATGATGAGGTAGAGGTGCGAGTCGGTCTCGTAGATGTCCTCGAGCGCGATGATGTTCTCATGTTTGATCCTGGGGCACACGCGCACGCCCGGCACACCGCATCCAGTATTCCCCTCCTCTCTTTGCGGCTGCGGTGAACACTTAGCCACGGGCCACTTTGCTCCATTTGCTTAACCATGACCGGGAAAATATCCGGCGAGAAATTAAATACTGGCCATCATCATCATTAACATCACCAACATCATCATCACTATTATCACTCTCATCACCACCATGGTCACCATTAATAGCATCATCACCATCTCCCTAATCATCTCCAGGCACCAGCGATACACACAGCCTGAACCTCAAAGGGGTAGGGACCATTAAATAATTATCTAGCCTCTCACCTGGAGAGCACGTGCGCTCTGTGCCCCACGTGACCCTCACCTGGAGAGCACGCACACCCACGTGACCCACGTGCCCCACGTGACCCTCACCTGGACAGCACGCACACCCACGTGACCCTCACCTGGAGAGCACGCACACCCACGTGACCCACATGGCCCACGTGACCCTTACCTGGAGAGCACGCACACTCACGTGACCCACGTGCCCCACGTGACTCTCACCTGGAGAGCACGCACACCCACGTGACCCTCACCTGGAGAGCACGCACACCCACATGACCCACGTGACCCTCACCTGGAGAGGACGGACACCTCGTTCTCCACGGTGTTGTCCTTGCCGCGGAGCGCCGTCTTGGCGATGCACTTGATGGCCACGTGCCTCCCGGTGGAGCGCTCCTCCGCCAGCACCACCTCGGAGAACGCGCCCCTGAGACACGGGGAGACACGCGGGGGGGTCACGGGGAGACACGCGAGGGGGTCACGGGGAGACACGCGGGGGGTCACGGGAGACACGCGGGGGGGGGTCACGGGGAGACACGCGGGGGGGTCACGGGGAGACACGCGGAGTCGCGGGGAGACTTGGAGACAAAGGTGGTCATGGGGAGACGCAGAGAGACACACGCGGAGACACGTCCCAGCCTTCATAAGTGCTCACCAACAGCTTGTGCAAGCTACACGGGGGGTCTTTGTTTTATACTTATGTCTGTCTGTATGTGTCCTAGTGTATGTGTATATGTATTGTTAATGAGTGTGTGTGTGTTGATGTATGCTCACAACAACGAGTGGGCACAGTGGGGAGCACAGCTGGTGCATCTCCCAGCAACCTCAGTCAACCCATGGCACCTGGGCCTGTTCCGTGACCTGCGAGCGGATCCTTCGACACTCCACGTGGGCTCAAGGTGCACCTAGCCTGGCACAAGCGCCGTAGTGATGTCAAAGCCACTTCTTTTGCTGGTTTATCCAGGATGTTTCTGTTGCGCGTCGTCGCTTTAAGATGTTCTGTGTTTATATTTGTTGCGGTTGCACCCGACTCAAGAGCCGCATGGCTCACAGGGCTAGTGTACGTGGATATGTGTGCGCGCATGGCCTCAAGAGTGCACCGAGCCTGGCACGGATACTGTGTTGAATTCACCGCAACCACTTAGCGAGTGAATGCATGCGCCTGTAGCCCAAGGGGTAGAGTGCATTGCATCCCCTCGGGCGAGAAGGGTCCCCTTCACGGGGTCCCCTCGGGCGAGAGGGGCCCCTCCATCCTTCCCCTTCTTCCCCTCCCCCATCCATACAGAAAGAAAACTGCTGATGTAGACAGTCGTGAACTGTCACACACACACATGGGTTACATATTAAGACAAAGATCCCTCGCGTAAACACACAACGTGCCGCGCAGGCCTCGGCGAGTGCACCAGCGGTGGTGGAGGAGAGGGTGGTGGGCAGGGGTGCGGTCAGAACTGCACCCGGCCGTCTTTGTCTCTCCCAGTAGGGATGTGGTACTGAACACCGGGGGGGCTCTTCGCACGCAGGCCTGGCCACTCGCCAGGCTGAGTCTGCGAGCTGCTGATGTCCCAACTTCTGCTTTTCCCAACGAGAACACGAGGAGGAAGAGGAGAGGGAGTGTGTGTGGGACTGTGTGCGTGTGTGTGAGTGTGTGTGCGTGAGACAGTGTGTGTGGGCGTGTGTGTGTGCGTGTGTGTGTGTGCGTGCGTGAGAGCGTGTGTGTGTGCGAGGGAGTATGGGAACGATGTGCGTGTGTGCGTGAGTTCGAGCAGCATGCGTGAGAGAGTGTGCGTGAGTGTGTGCGTGAGAGAGTGTGTGTGAGAGTGTGTGTGAGTGTGCGTGGGAGTGTGCATGAGTATGTGTGAGCGTGAGAGTGTGCGTGAGCGTGTGCGTGAGAGTGTGTGTGTGTGTGCGTGCGTGAGAGTGTGTGTGTGTGCGACGGAGTATGGGGACTATGTGCGTGTGTGCGTGAGTTCGAGCAGCATGCGTGTGAGACTGTGCGTGAGAGTGTGCGTGAGAGAGTGTGTGTGAGAGTGTGTGTGAGTGTGCGTGGGAGTGTGCATGAGTATGTGTGAGCGTGAGAGTGTGCGTGAGCGCGTGCGTGAGAGCGTGTGTGTGTGCGAAGGAGTATGGGGACTATGTGCGTGTGTGCGTGAGTTCGAGCAGCCTGCGTGTGAGAGTGTGCGTGAGAGTGCGTGAGAGTGTATGTGAGTGTGCGTGGGAGTGTATGTGAGTGTGCGTGGGAGACTGGGAGTGTGCATGAGTATGTGGAACTCGAGTCCAGAGAGCGATTAGCGCGCTGCGCTATGAACCCGGCGACCCAGCATCGATTCCCGATCAGGGCTAACACCAGTGACGATTATCCGAATCGGTTCTGGGCCTCCCCTAGGTCGACTCAGCCTCAAAGCAGTACCTGGTGCGATGTGTAAACATTGCTACTGGGGAGACAAAGGCGGTCGGGCGTGGTGCTGCCCATCCACCCCCTCCGTGTGTCGTGCCGATCTTCATAGCTGCTCGCTAACAGCACTTGCCCCGACAGTCTGTGAGGCTATAAGGCAGATCTTTGTTGGAGTATGAGTGTTGCTGGAGGTATGTGTGGGAGTGAGCGTGGGAGTGGGTGTGTGGGGAGGGGGGGGGATGGTGGTGCAGTGATTAGCACTCTACGAACCCGGCGACCCGAGTTCGATTTCCGCTCGCAGAAAAAGAGCGGTGACGATCATCTGAACTGGTCGAGGGCCTCCCGTAGGTCGTCCTTGGATCAACTTTACAACTCCTCTGGCATTTCAAACCCAGAACACAACTAACCAAGGCCGTAGCCATGGAGTCAACATTGGGGGGGGACCAAATCTTCCAGGGTGTCCCAACCCAGACAAAAAAAAAAATCTAAATTTGAAAACTCATTTCCTGCCTAAAATATTACAAATTTTACTAACACATGGGATGGACATTTTTTATATTTTTCACAATGTCTAATAGTATACTGTATTACTGCTCTGTTTTAACTTTTTTACCATTTCTTGTTTCATTGTATAATGGCAGAGATTAGGGATTAATAAAGTACAACCTTAACCACAATCAAATAAACATACATCTATGCGTTGATTTATATGAAGACAAGTGCAGATATTGTGTCCAAGGTTTAGCAAATTGTTCTTTTCATTTACATATCATCGCAATTATATTTTATAGCAATATATTGGGGGGGACATTTTGAGCATATTTGAATATATATTGGGGGTGACACATCCCACCAAAATATATTATAATTACGGCCTTGCAATTAACACATGGGATGGGTGGGTGGCCAAACGGAGGAGTGGAGGATACAAAGATGCCCCGTGTAGCCTTGGCAGACTGTTAGGGCAAGTGCTGCTCGCGAGTATCACCTTTGAAGGGTGGCACGGAGCACAACACCATCAAACAACTAATGTCATTGTCATAAATACCACCACCGCCAACACCACAACCACTAACAGCACCACAACCAGTAACTGAACCACCGCTCACACCTGGACAGATGATTTGGGCAAGGGCCGTGAGCGAGCACACGAATCGCACCAGGTACTACCCATTTGACGGGTTCATGTAATCGCCACTGGTATTGACGGTGAGCGGGAATCGAACTCGGGTCGCCGGATTCGTATCTGCAGCGCGCTGACCGCTGCACTACCACAACCCTCTACAAACACCGAATGCCGACCAAACTCCCACCCCCCCCCACTGTGTAACCCAATCTTGCGTGTTAGCCAGGTACACACACAAATCCCGCTGTGTGTGTACCTACAGCACCACGTGTGCACCTACAGCACCACGTGCGCTTTAGGCACGCAACACTCGCAGACGAACGACAATCTGACGACGACGTCCCGGCCACGTCACAACGTGAATGCATTGTGACGTCATGGCAACGTCACAACGTGAATGCGTTGTGACGTCACCGTTGTGACGCAGCGAGGCGAGTGCTGAGTTCTGCGCTGTGCGCGTCGAACTGGGGATCAGACGTCTCGCAGAGAGCGAGGAAGCGGCCCTTGCCTATAAATCAAGGCCGTAATTATAATATATAAATAATATATATATAATATATGCTCAAAATATCCCCCCCAATATATTGCTATAAACAATAATTGCTATGCTATGTAAATAAAAACAACAATTTGATAAACCTTGGCCACAATATCTGGACTTGTCTTCATATAAATCGATGCATAGATTTCTGTTTATATGATTGTGGTCATGGTTCTAATTTATTAATCCCTAATCTTTGCCATTACATACAATGACACGATAAATGGTAAAAAAGTAAAAACAGAGCAATGTAATACAATAACACTATTAGACATTATTGTAAAAAATAAATAAAAAGTCCATCCCATGTGTGAGTGAATTTTAAAATATTTTAGGCAGGAAATGAGTTTTCAAATTTAGATATTTTTTCTGGGTTGGGACCCCCAGACACCCTGGAAGATTTGGTCCCCTCCAATGTTGCCTCCATGGCTGCGGCCTTGCTATAAACACCTGGGCAGTTTCACGGGCACAGACTCAAGCGAGCCCCAGACACTGCTGATGAGACGCTGAATGACGAAACCGGTCCAGAGTTGTGCAACGCGTTGAATCAACGCGTGCCGAAGTGATGCGCCGTTGACGTGTACAGAATGGTCGTCCTTGTTGATGTGGAGGGCAGACGTGCGAAGACGGTGAGGGGGGGGATCGTCGTCTCGCGCAGTTGTTTTGTCAACAGAACCCTTCACTGCGTGTGCACAGGCCGCACAGATAGAGATCGCCCGGGTAGCCTCCACAAGCTGCGGGGGAAAGTGCTGTTAGCGAGCATCTCTGCAGGCCGGCACGGCTCACCCATGAGCGTGGTCTTGTGCCAAAAATAAAACACCAAGTGCCGGCCGCCTTTGTCTCTCCCAGTGCACCAGGTAAGTTGTTTGAGGCCGAGTCGCCACAGGGGAGGGGGGGGGACCAGGACCGGTTCGGATAATCGTCACTGGTGTTGGCCGTGTGCGGGAATCGAACTCGGGGTCGCTGGGAATGGTCGAACTCGATACGCCGGGTCCGTAGCGCACTGCGCTAACCGCTGCCCCACCGCTCCCCACGCCGGCGTTTGGGGATGAATTCATTCGCGGGGCGCAGCTGGGACGAGGGAGTGAGGAGTGTGGAGTGTGTGTGCACGTGTGTGTCTGTGTGTGTGTGTGCACGTGTGTGTGTGCACGTGTGTGTGGGGTGTGTGTGTGCACGTGTGTGTGTGCACGTGTGTGTCTGTGTGTACACGTGTGTGTGGGGTGTGTGTGGGGTGTATGTGCGCACGTGTGTGTCTGTGTGTCTGTGTGTACACGTGTGTGTGTGTGTGCACGTGTGTGTGGGGTGTGTGTGGGGTGTGTGTGTGCACGTGTGTGTTTGTGTGTGTGTGCACGTGTGTGTGGAGTGTGTGTGTGTGCACGTGTGTGTTTGTGTGTGTGTGGGGGAGGGGTGTGTGCACGTGTGTGTGTGCACGTGTGTGTGTGCGCACGTGTGTGTGGGGTGTGTGGTGGGTGTGTGTGGTGTGTTTGGGATGTGTGTGTCATGCGTGCGTGTCTCCACGAGGGCTGCCCGCTGTATCTCCGTGTGCCGTGCCGTCCCCAATGGGTGCTCGCTAACAGAACTTGCCCCACCAGTGTGTTAAGGCTATACGGGTGATCTTTGTATTTGTGAGCACGAGGTCGTGGTGTTGGCCAAACCGCCCCTTCATAGGAGCTCCTCACTAACAGGATTTGTCCCAATAGTCCGTGCGAGCTACAACATACGGTGCGAAAAACAATCCGACACACTGTACATACACACATGGGGGATATTTATCTGTGCGAGTGGTGGCGCAGCGGTTAGCGCACTGCGCCACGAACCCGGCGAGCAGAGTTCGACGATTCGCGGCGACCCCAAGTTCAATCTCCGTGCAGGGACAACACCAGTGACTATTATCCGCAACGGGTCCTGGACTCGCTCCCGATGTCGCCTCGGCCTCGGACAACTTACCCAGTGCGATGTGCATAACAACTACCATCGGCACTGGGGAGACAAAGACGGCCGGGCGTGGATTTGTCCACACTACATCGCCCCCCCCCCCCTACTTGGAGCGCCGTGTCGGCCATCAGCGACGACTCGTGGACAGCACTTGACCCAGTAGGCAGTGTCGGCTCTAACGGGGGAAGGGTAGGTGGGTGTGTGGGTGTGCAGAGCTCATATTTGAGATTCTTTACCAATGAGGAATATCAAATAAATAACTCGCCAATCTTTTATACTTCTCGCCCCAGTGCGCGTGTGTGCGCTACGTCTGCGCAGTGCCGGATGATCCTCGTAGCAAAATTAGCTACATATGTAGCTACATATGTAGCTACACAAGTAGCTACATGTGTAGCAGCTACATATGTAGCTACACAAGTAGCTACATGTGTAGTAGCTACATATGTAGTATCTACACAAGTAGCTACATGTGTAGTAGCTACACAAGCTACGGGCCCCGCACTTTCAAGGGCCCCCGCGATAAATGCTTTCAAGCTATCAATTTCGATTCAGTGATTCTGCACTTGCTCTATTACTATAGTACTATACCGCCTTCAACTTTTATGAACGACTGGGTGTTTAAGGTTAGCGATTTGTCGTACAGTGTAGCAAATGAAAAAATACAATTACTTTACTATGCAAGTAAAACATTTATGTTTTAATATTTACGCGTTTAAATATAAAAAAATTAGGGCCCCTTTGTAACATATGCTACAGGCCCCTGCACTAGCTTAGTCCGGCACTGCGTCTGTGCGCGTGTTGTCTCTGACGGGTGTGCGGCATCTGCCAGTCATCTCAAGTCAGTCAACCCATGGGGCACCGGGGTCTGCTCCGTCACCTCCTGCCAGCAGGACCCTTCGACACTCCACGTGGTCTCAAAGTGCACCTAGCCTGGCACAAGCGCCGTGGTGACGTCACCGCGACTTGGTGGTGAACGCGGGTTGTTGTTGTTGTTGTCGTCTGTGTGTACACGTGTGGGGAGCGCGGTAGTGTAGCGGGTAGTGTAGCGGCGAGCGTGCCGCGCTACGAACCCGGCGACCCGAGTTCGAATCCCCCTCACGGCTACCAACAATGGTGACGATTATCTGAACCGGTCCTGGGCCTCCGCTAGATCGACCCAGCCTCAAATGAGTACCTGGTGCGGTGTGTAAACATCGGCACTGGGGAGACAAAGGCGGCCGGGCGTGGTGCTGGCCACCCACCCGCTCGTGTGCCGTGCCGGCCTTCATAGGTGCTCGCTAACAGCACTTGCCCCTACAGTCTGTGTGACGTCCGTAGAGGAAGAGATGATTGTGAGATGGTGAGGAGTTGGAGGTTGATGAGAGCTCAATGGATGTGAAGAGAAGATGTTGAGCAACGGATGATTTAAGAGGAGACGGTGTTCAGGAAATGAGCAGATGATGAGGTCGTAGGATCGTGACAGATAAAGAGGAGACGATGAAGATGATGGTGTTGAGGAGGGGGAGATGATGGTGTTGATGTTGAGGAGATTATGATGGTCATCATTTTGAGGAGATGATGGTGTTGAGGAGATGGTGATGAGGTTGAGGAGTAGATGGTGATTATTATGATGTTGAGGAGGAGATGATGGTGATGATGTTGAGATGATGGTGATGATGTTGAGGCGCTAGTGGTGATGATGATGTTGAGGAGATGGCGGTGATGTTGAGGAGATGATGGTGATGATGTTGAGATGATGGTGATGATGCTGAGGCGATGATGGTGATGATGTTGAGATGATGGTGTTGAGGAGGAGATGATGGTGTTGACGAGGAGATGAAGGTGATGTTGAGGAGACAGATTATGGTGATGATGTTGAGATGTTCATGAGTAGGTTTTGAAGACGTGCCGAGATCTGCGAGCGGAACTCGTGGTTCGATTCCCCGGGGTTTGAATGAAATGAGGAACTAAACAGAGACACAGGTCCCCCGGGTAGCTTACACAGACTATAGGGGCAAGTGCTGTTCGCGCATACTACCACGTATAAATGCCGACACGGGTGGTATGACCGGGGCCACGTCCGGCCGCCTTTGTCTCCTCAGTGCCGATATTCACACCGCACCAGGAACCAATTTAAAGCCGCGTCGACCGAGGAACGGTCGCCGGAATCGTTGCGCAGTGCACTTAACCACTGCGCCACCGCTCCCCACACACACACACGAGACATAAAGATCCCCCCGTGTAGCCTTAACAGACTGTTGGGGCAAGTGCTGTTAGCGAGCACCTATGAAGGCAGGCACGGTACACGAGGGGGGTGGGTGGCCAGAACCACGCCCGGCCGCCTTTGTCTCCCCAGAGGCTGAGACCGTTAGCCGGGAATCGAACTCGGCTCGCCGGCTTCGTAGCGCAGCGCGCTGACCGCGACACTACCGCTCCTCGCACACGTACACACGCACACACGTACACACGTACACACACACGTGCACACGCACGCGCACACACACACGCACACACGTACACACGCACACACGTACACACACACGTACACAAAGGCAAAGATCCCCCGCATAGCCTTGACGCACTTTCGAGGCAAGTGCTGCTCGCGCGCAAAAGCAGCAGCGCCGCCTCTAAAGGTCGTCACGGCGCACGACGAGGGAGTGGGGGGGGGCAGTGTGAGTCAGCACCACACCCGGCCGCCTTTGTCTCCCCAGTGACACGCGCACACGCGCACGCGGACACACACGCGGTACTCACGTCCCCAGGACGTCTCTGAAGAGGAAGAGTCCCTTGATGTCCGGCGTCTGCTTCTTCTCGGGGCCTCCGCCCTCTGTGCGAAGCGGCATCGCCACCCTCTGCCACTGGCTTCTCTCTCCCTTCTCTCTCCGCAGCTCTAGCCCCCCGTGTGTGCGCTCTCCCTCTCTCTTCTCCCTCTCAATCCTCTCCACCTCTGCCCTCGATCCTCCCTCCCTCTCGCTCGCTCGCCTCTCTCACCCACCACTCCTCTCTCTCTCGAATATCTCTCTCCCTCCTCACTCTAATCTTGTTCCTCTCCTCGTCTCTCCTTTATATCTCTCTCTCTCTTATCTCGTTCTCTCCCTCCCTCGTAGCGACGTTGTTGCGCCCCAAGTCGACTGCGGAACGCGGAGTTCGGGTCACGGAGGAGGAGGGGCTGGGTTCGATGCCGGGATGAGAGCGAGAGATAATCTCGCACAGAGGTCCTCTCTCTGTACCCACGCTCGCTCTCAGCGCCCCACGCTCTCTCTCTACCCACGCTCTCTCTCTACCCACGCTCTCCCTCTCAGCGCCCCACGCTCTCTCTACCCACGCTCTCTCTCAGCGCCCACGCTCTCTCTGTCAGCGCCCCACGCTCTCTCTACCCACGCTCTCTCTCAGCGCCCACGCTCTCCCTCTCAGCGCCCCACGCTCTCTCTACCCACGCTCTCTCTCAGCGCCCCACGCTCTCTCTACCCACGCTCTCTCTCAGCGCCCACGCTCTCTCTGTCAGCGCCCCACGCTCTCTCTACCCACGCTCTCTCTCAGCGCCCACGCTCTCCCTCTCAGCGCCCCACGCTCTCTCTACCCACGCTCTCTCTCAGCGCCCCACGCTCTCTCTACCCACGCTCTCTCTCAGCGCCCACGCTCTCTCAGCGCCCCACGCTCTCTCAGCGCCCCACGCTCTCCTTGGCAGCTTCACGCGCTGCGCTGCCCTCTCCTGCTCGCGATGCTCTCGACTCTCGCTCTCTCTCCTGCTCGCACCCCCCCCACCGACCCCCCACCAACCCCCCACCTACCCCTCACCGACCCCTCCCCCTTTAGACGCAGAGAACCGCAAGGGCGGAGCGACTGTCTCTCGCTCTCTCTCTCTTCCCCTCCCTCCCTCTCCCTTCGCTCTCGCTCCATCTCCCTAAATCTTCTTTCCAAGCACTCTCTCCTCCGTAAATCTTCCACTCTCTCCCTCCCTGTCTCGCCTTCCCCTCTCTTCCTCTCCCGCTCCCTCCCTCCATCTCCCATTCTATCCCTCCATCTCCCACTCCCTCCATCTCCCACTCCCTCCATCTCCCACTCCCTCCATCTCACACTCCACACTCCCTCCATCTCCCACCCCTCCCTCCCTCTCGCCCACCCCTCACTCCCCCCCCCCCCACGCTCCCCCTCCATTCCCATCCCTGGGGGAGCCCCCTCTCTGTGCGGGGTCAATGAGACGTAAATTAATTGAATCGCTAATTACCCCGCGAGACACGGGGGTGGGGGGGGGGGGTTGGAGGAGGGGGTGGTGGTCACGGTCAGAGATGTGGGGGAGGGGGTGGGGGTGTTTTGGGTGTAAGGGGAGGGGCTGTGGGAGGGGGGGGCACAGGGGTCACCGAGACCCCGCGATCACGTGACCCCGGGTCGTAGAATCCTAATCTGAGGGGCGGGGGAAGCGGGGGGGGGGATTAGGAGTCACGTGGTCACGGATCATGAACGCAAACATAATTTCAACACAAAACACACAGAGCGAGAGAGACATCAAACCAACAAAATACACGAGGCAGAGCGAGGCGGCATTAAACACAAAGCACACACGATTAAACCAACACAAAGCAAACACAAGACCCCGACACTAAACCAACACAACACCGTGGCGCTGAGCAAACGCAGCTGCAGCGGCTGGGACGCGGTAACCAAAGTGACTCGCACACAGATACAGCAACATCATCATCAGCAACATCATCATCAGCAGCAACATGAGCAACATCAGTAGCAGTAGCAGCATCAGAATCCGCAACATCAGAGGCTGCATTATCAGCAGCAGCATCATTCAGCAACATCATCAGCATGAACATCATCAGCATCAACATCATCAGCAGCATTATCAGCAGCAGCAAGATCAGAAGCAGCAGCATCAGCAGCTTCGGTGGCAGCGTCATCAGCAATATCATCATCATCAACAGGGGAAGCAGCAGCAGCATCATCAGCAGTATCGTTACTATTAACAGCATCAGCAGCATCAGTAGCCGAATCATAATCATCATCAGCGGCATCATCCTCCATTCTTCCTTAAGACTCCGTCGTCATCCTCATCATCACCCCGTCCTCCTCACCTCGGCTCATCATTGTGTGGACCTCCCCTGGCACCTCCCCCACCCGATGAGCGAGTTCGCGTCTCGCACCTGTGCCCAGGTGATGCACCATTATCCTTCCCCCCACGTGTCCCTTGAGGTACTTGGGTTTCCAAAGCCTTTGCTTTGTTTTTGTCCAGCGTCAACCACGGCTCCCACCTGCCCTCCCCTCCTCCCCCTACCCCCCCGCGAGATGACTCGGGGATTTTTGTTGTTGTCAAGACACCTCGGGGTCAGGGGTGACGCGATGAGGTGGGTGAGAAGGGGGTGAGTGTAAGGTGACAGGGGGTGAATTGGGGGTGTGGGGGGGAAAAAGGGGAAGAAAGGGGTGAGTGAGTTGGGGGGGGGTTTATTATTTTATTATTTATTTATTTAATTTTTGGACTTACGTGACTTTACCGAAAAAACTAAGAGTATGAATCCTTGCAGTCACGAAAGCTTCAAATCTAGAATGGGGGGGGGGGGGGTGTTTATACGCACGAATAACCTCACACACCACCCCTCATGAAGACAAAGATCCCCCTTGTAGCCTTATCAGGCTCTTAGAGCAAGTGCTGTTAGAGAATGGCACCGATGAAGGCCGGGGCGAGCACACGAGGGGGTGGGTTGGGCAGCACCAAGCCCGGCAGAATTTGCGGACAGCACTTGCCCCAACAAGTCTTCATGGCTACGCGGGGATCTTTGTCTTGTGTGTCAATTCAGCCCGGTGCGGTGTGAAGAAAAACATCGCCACCGGGAAGACAAAGGCGGCCGGAGCCGGTCACCCCATCCCCTCGTGTCCCCGTGCCGGCCTTCGTAGGTGCTACTCGCGAACGGCACTCGCCCCAAACGGCCTGCGAAGGCTACACGGGGGATATTTGTCTTTGTAAAGTGCGAGCATCACATACCGGCATTCCGGACTGACAAATCACCTTCAAACCCAAACATTCGCGGACAATTTAGCCAAATGTCAAGCGATCCGTGGCAGCCACGCGTGTGTGTGTGTGCGTGTGTGCGTGTGTATCCGTGTGTGTGCGTGTGTGCGCGTGTGCGCGTGCGTGTGTGCGCGTGTGTGTGCGCGCGTGTGTGCGCGCGTGTGTGCGCGCGTGCGTGCGTGTGCGTGCGTGTGTGCGCGTGTGTGTGCGTGCGTGTGTGCGCGCGTGTGTGCGCGCGTGCGTGCGTGTGCGTGCGTGTGTGCGCGTGTGTGCGTGCGTGCGTGTGCACGTGGGGGGGGGGGGGAGCGGTGGGCTTGGTGGTTAGCGCACTGCAATAGGACCCGGCAACTCGAGGTTTCTCCTCTTCGACTGCGATGAATAACAGTGGGCGAGCGAATATGAGGAAGTCTTTTGGCGGCAATACATTTCCACGTGTTGGGCCAACTTCGTTGAGCTGTCAGCTGTGGCCAGGTCGCTTCTGAAAAAGCGCAGTGGAGCTCGGTGAGCCTTACCTGGTAAAAAAATATATATAGTTTGGTTTAGTTTTCATCGTTTAAATAGAGTCGGTCCTGGGCCTCCTCGAGGTTGACCAAGCCGTAAACGAGTACGTACCTGGTGCGGTGTGTCAAGCTTAGCATTGGGGATACAAAGGCGGACGGGTGTGGTGTTGACCACCCACTCCCCTCGTGTTCTGTGCCGGCCTTAATAGGTGCTCGCTAAAAGCTTCTCTCCCCAACAGCCTGTTTCAGACTCTATGGAGGATCTTTGGTACGGCGCACGAGGGGATGGGTGGCCAGCGCCACGCCCGGCCCCCTTTGTCTTCCCAGTACGAATCGCTTCAACACACACCACAGACACCCACACATCCAGACACTGGACACACCCAGGTATATCCAGTTGTGCGTGTCTATTTGTGTGACAAAGATCCCCCGTGTAGCCTGAACTGACTGTGAGGGCAAGTGCGGCTAGCGAGCACCTATGAAGGCCACCTCGGCACACGTGGGGGTGGATGGGCAGCACCACGCCCGGCCACCTTTGTCTCCCCAAGCGGCGATGTTTACGCACCGCACCAGGTATTCATTTGAGGCTGAGTCGACCTAGGAGAGGCCCAGGACCGGTTCAGATAATCGTCACTGGTGTTGACCGTGAGCGGGAATCAAACTCGGGTCACCTGGTGAGTTCGAAATTCTCACTCACCTGGTGAGTTAGAGAACACAATCTGACTCACGTGGTAAGCATTTCTCACTCACCCGGTGAGTTAGAAATTCTTACCTGTGGAGTTAGCATTTCTCACTCACCTGGTGAGTTAAAGAACGATTCTCACGGACAGATGTATCAGCGGCTGCGAGGTAAAGGTAGGCGGCGTCTCGCTCGCCACTGCGTCACGGCATCTTGAGGGGCGTCGACTCCACCGGGAGATTCTCATGAGTCGGAACATCGTCGCTGCCGCAGGCGGGGAGGGTGCCCCCGCTCAGGACCACGAGATGCCGCACCTCCGACGTACGGTGGGAAAGAATTCCAAGACACACACACACACAGCTGACTCTTGAAGAAGAGAGGGAGGGTGACCTTGCCTTTGAACGCCTGGAAAGTTCACCGGCGTCGCTTCAAGGCAAGGGCCTGACTGTGCTTCTGATGAGACGAAACCGGTCCAGAGAGTGTTTGCTCGAGTTAGACCAAAGCTGCTGTAATCGCGCGCTCTAAGAAGGCCGTGCTGCTGATGGGATGGTTAAAAAAAACATTAGTTCACGTAATTTTTTTACGTGTGGAGAGAGAGATATGTGTGGAGGCGGCGGGCGGGCGGGGGGGGATCACCTGCTGGTCAAGAGAGCTTTGATATCGAGCGATGCCTCTGGGCTGGTGGTGCGGGGGGGGGGCTAACGGCTGGTTGACGTTCGTCAGCTGTTCACCCTCGCGGTGTGCATTTCACGTTCCGCGCGGTGGCAACACGGGGGGGCGGGAGGCTCCTCTGTTGACCCCGAGCCCCCGAACGTGGCCAGGGCAGCAGGCAACAGCGTGACAAGGGCGCGCCACTCCCCCCCGCCCTCGCGCCCCCCCCCCCCAGGGGAGACGCGGGCGCACCCTGTTGGCGTGTCCCCACGGGTGTGCCCCCACGATTACCGCCACGTTCCAACCACCACCACCACCACTGTCGCCGCCGCCGCCGCGCCTTCGCGAGCAGCACGATGCTCCCACACTCCCCTGCGCTCCACTGCCAATCCAGGGCCGTCTCTCCGGTGGCCGCACGTGGCCTGCAGTGACCCAGCAGCCAGCGCTGTGGAGGCATCGGCAGCGGCCAGGAGGGTTGGCGGATTCGTCGCGCGCCTTGGGCGTGTGAAACTCATCTCTTGAAAACGAACGTCCTTCGATTGGAAACTCGCGTCTTGAGAACTGCGAAAGGAGTTCAACGCACGGTGCAGACGCAGTACAAAACGCCCTTCCCCGTGGGCGGGCGTCGGAAGAGGAGCCGTATCCTGGCTACTAGAGCAAGTCTCCATCTGTTCCATCTGCTCCATCTGTGTGATGGGGCAGAGTTGTTGACCCCCCCCCACCTCGCTCGCGCGTGGGTTTCCTGCCACGTGGTGTAAACAACTTCCCCCCCCCCCCACCCGTCTATACGCAGCGGGCTACGCCGTGAGGGCGACGCCGTTCTACGAACCCTCTCCCTCTACGAACTCTCTCGCTCGCCCCTGGGAGGCGACAATCACCGCACGACCTCCAGGCCACGATGGCCCAGATTAGGTTCCTCTGCGGTTTGCTTTTTTGCTCCAATTTCTATTTGCTTCTCGGCTGTAAATGATTTAGTTTTGCTCGTCATTTTGGGGGCGCCTTCAGCCCGCCGCTCCCCAGGTCACGCTCTTGCGAATGCGTCTCCCCCTCGCCTCGCCTGAATTCTCACAAAAATCAACTCCAGACTTCACCCCAAACCCACATCTTGTACTTTACATTCGCGTAACAAAGTGGTCTCTTATAACCGAGAGAATACGGTATCGCGACTGGCCGGCCACGTGGAATGTCCAAACGCTGCCTGGCGAGGACAGGAGAGGCTGCCATTCCTCTGCCGGGAGCCGGGCCGGTACTAGTTCTGGCTCCGGTCACCACCAGCGTGGACAGTCCTCTACTCACTTGGTCCGCCGCTCGGGGCAAGAAGCTGTCAAACAACACGGAACGGCGCTCTCTTTCTGAACGAAAGAATGGAGGAAGAGGCGTTGGAGCGTGGCGGTGGCGAGGTGCGGGAAGCTGCGAGTCTCAGGCTCCCCTCCCCGTCGACTGCGGGCGAGGAATGGTGACGGTGGTCGTGGTGGGCGCGATGACGGTGGCTTACGCGCCCACCGAAGATGAGCAGCAGTGGAGGGATGCAGGCAAGGCCGATGAGTCGGATTGCCCTGCTATGACAACGCGTGCTCAAGGCTGCTGGCTGAAGTGACTCCTTGGGATAGAGTCGTCTCATTGGCTGCTGGATCAATGAGTTTGCCGACATACTTGGTAAAACATTCACACAGACATTATGTTCTCGCGTGCACGAAGGCAGCAGCAGCAATGCGGTTCATGAGCTCGATGCCAATATCGAGGTCTTCTCACGACCAGAGGGCTTCAGGAGTGAGAGTTTGTGTAGTTTTGCTGTTCCTCCTCTTCTGTTGAAGGAGCACGGCTATAGTGGGTTTGCTACGCGGTCAATAGTTTGGGTTGCGCGGCCACAATCGCACTACTGTGGCATGCGTCTGCGATTTTCCATTCGTGAAGGAGATGTGCGCATCGGCCTGTTGATCATCGGAAGGACAACCTACCCATGATCAACCAAGACCACGACAACGTCCCTCGCCGCCAACCCAAGTCCCAATCCCACTTTTGGGATCGCGCTGCCGCTGCTGCTACTGCTGTCGCTGTCGCCATCCCAGAGTCTCACTGCCCATATCCGGAAGAGCGCTGCTGGGCGAACGGAGTGGAACCACACGGACGTCCAAAATAATAAGAACCTCCTCATTCGAGACGCAAACATCAGCGGCACCTCCTCCTGGCTTTGACTTTCCTCCTCCTTCTCCTCCTCCTCGAAGACACTCACCGGTTGGTGGAACCATCAACCGCACCACCAGAACACAGAAATGAAACACCACAACCACGGGACGATGCGTCAATCACTCTTCTATTCAAACAGGACAACACTGACCGGAGGAATTACAACTCAGTGGAGCCCTTCACATGAAATATTAATTCGTATTTTTTAACACATCCCATCAGCCACACGGCCTTTCTACTGGCAGTGCATAGTTTCCGGTTTCGATATTCAGTGTTTCACTGATGTTTACAGGCAAGGGCCCCCCCCCCCCCATCTCTCTCTATGGGTCCCTAGTTAGACCCAAAACCCTATCGTACACAGCGCAGGATAAATATTGTAATACACAACACAATATTTAACAATTTTCTGTCAAGGATTACAGACGCATTACCATCACAGGTAGTTCACAATCTTGATTTGTAACGGAGTTGGCAAAACACTTCGAGGGCAGTCGCTCGCGCAAGCGACCAGACCCTGCTAGCAGGGAGGGGATCAATGAGTGGGGTCACGCGGCAACATCACCAACACCTCCCCCTCCAGCACCACCACCGTCGCCGCCCCATCGCCGCTCGCTCCCGCCTGGGGAGACGGTGACGGACGCGATTGTCCCGGTCGCTGCGTCGTCAGCGGTTCCGCAGACGGCTGTGGCGCGGCGGTCGTGCACAGCACTCGCAGCAGGAGGCTGTGCTCGCGCGCGCGCTCCACCGTGGCGCTCGCCGTCACCTCGTCGCCGGTGAGCAGCGGCGCCGGGAAGCGCAGGCGCGACGATGCCAGCACGCAGCCGGCGCCGGGCAGCCGCGTGCCCAGCAGCGCCGACACCAGCCCCAGCAGCAGCACGCCGTGCACCACCGCCCGGCCCGGCGCGACGCCGACGGCGTCGTGCACGGGGTTGGTGTCGCCCGTGAGCCTCGCGAAGTCGGCCACGTCGCGCGGCGTGAAGACGCGGCGCATCTCGGCGCGGTCGCCCACGGCCCACGCGGCGTCGCCACGGCGACCAGCCGGGGCGGGCACAGGGGGGTGCGACGAGGTGGGGGGGGGCGAGGAGGAGGTGGAGTAGAATGAGGCGTTAGCCGCGGCCGGGGATGAAACTCGGGTCGCCGGGTTCGTAGGGGACGAAGAGGTGGAAGAGGAGGGGGAGGAGGCGAACACGGGGGAGGAGGTGGACCATGAGGTGGTGGACCATGAGGTGGTGGACCATGAGGTGGTGGACCATGAGGAGATGGAGAAAGCAGAGGAGGGGCCAGGTTGCCCACGGATCCTCCACCCGCACTCCGCCCCCATCCGCCGCCCACCACCAGTGGCTGTTGGCAACAGCTGGAGGAGAGCGGAAGGTGTTGGAGGAGACAGCAGGACCCGGAGCTTCGCTATGGCGATCAGGGGGCTCATGGCAACACCGGTACAGCCTCGGCAACCAATTGCAGGCAGCCGATGACAGTCGCAGAAAGTTACAGTCGGTCAGTCCAGTCTCAGGTCCCGGCTGTTGCCCGACAGGGACAGGAGGAATGGAGACACCTGGTGGAGACAGGCGACGATTGTCAGAGGCGCCAAGACCCTGGGTTCCGACCCTGGGTTCCAATCCAGGTTTCAGCCACAGACTCTCACAGAGACCCGCAGACTCACCCCCCCCCCACCACTCCGTATCTCCTCCGTGGCTCCTCTCCCCCCTCTCTTATTTATACAGCGTCCTGTTTCACTGCAGCTCTCTTACCCATTCCAGCAGTTGCTTCTGGCTGTGGTGGTCCCACCTGATAACGAGCGCTTGTGTTGCACCCGAAACGTCGTGATGATAAAAAAAAATTTTTTACTTTTATTTTTTACCTACGTGACTTTACCGAAAGAACCAAAGAGTATGAGTATAGCAATAGAAGGGATCTCAGAGGTAGCTCTGCGACATCCACTTCCGTGGGATGTTCTTCTGAGTGATATGTATGTTTCGTGACCGCGCAATGCCGGTAATTATCACAGTCGGGGATCACGTGGGAAGGAAAACGTCAGAATTAATGAACAAACAAATGTGCCCGTCATTTGCAAGCGGGATTCAACAAAGTTGCTTTGCGTTGCCGAGTAATGGGCAACTTGTACCGTGTGTTGCAAAGCGTCTAGAACAACGTGACACAGACCACCACAACAAAGACCACAACGATGCAGGCGACCTTTCACCGTTCAAGATTTAGATTGAACCCCGAGTCCTGGGCTGGTTTGCCTGCTGTATGAATGTAAAGTTGGATCACCCGATGAGCCACTCACCTGCTGGATGTGGACGGCACAGACGAAGCCCTGGTGCCTCGAGGCCAGAGATAGCGACGCCCACAGACGCACGAGCCCACTGGCACGCGTACAAAGACAAAGGTCCCCCAGGTAGCCTTAACAGGCCGTTGAAGCAATTGCCGTTGATGAGCACCTTTGAAGGCCGGCACGGCACGCCTATGATGGGGTGGTGTGGCCAGCTGCATGCCTGGTGTTTAATTTCGGTGATTAATACACACCGCACCAGGTACTCATTACAGCAGTGGTAACTTATCCTTTACTGCAGCCTTGCACACCCTCTTTGGTTTTCAATCGTGAAACAAAAATGTATCATGTTCATAAATACGTAGGTTTGATCAAACAAAGGAAGTTGCACTCACGTGCCCCGTGCTTAATTTGTGTTTTCGATTATTTACCTTCTAAAAATATCTGGTCACGCCTCGCACCCCCCAGACAGGGCATCTTGCACCCCAGGTTAAGAAGAACCACTGGATTACAGGCTGAGTCGACCTCAGGGGAGGCCCAGGACCGGTTCAGATATTCGTCACTATTCACTGGCCGTTAGCGGAAATCGAACTCGGGTCTCTGGGTTTACAGCAAAATGTGCTCATTATTGCGCCGCCGTTCCCCATGCACTCTCACATATACACAGAGGGTAGCAGGATGGCGGTCCGGTGGTGACACTAAACCTCACAGCAAGCAGCGACAGGGTTCGATTTCCCACTCGGACGCCTGTCTGTGCGATGTTTCTAAGTTCTCCCCGTTCTCCAGAGATCAGAGGTCGCAAACGGGTTTTGATTCCTTACCCGTACCCGGCCGCACCAGGGTCGCAAACGGGTACCCGTACCCTACCCGATACCTGGCCGGGTACGGGTAGCCGGGTATCGGGTAGGGTACGGGTATCGGGTACCCGATTGCGACCTCTGGGATGAAGCCATGTTGCAGGCGCGGGTGGGTTGATTCTAGGAACTTGAATTGTGAGAAGAGACAAGACGTTAGGAAATGAGTGACAAACGGTTACTCACCAGTGACTCACGGCCCTCTCGCTCATTGGTTTGGGTGAGTCACGTGTGGCTACCCGTACCCGGCCGTAGCCGGGTATCGGGTAGGGTGCGGGTATCGGGTACCCGATTGCGACGTCTGCCAGAGAGTGTGTGGAGTCTGTATATTTTCCCCTTGCTCTGCATGGACTTCCTCTGGGTTCTCCGGCTTCCTCCTCCCACAGCTAAATCCACACACACAGCGGTAGTGGTAATGCTCAAACCACATCCCGATGCTGCATTTTTTTCTGCAAATCGCTTAATTGAGATCACACAGCAGCAGCAACATCGCTGCCGACTGCGACAACTCGGCAGGAGCCTTGAGACTCGGCGAGGCCCTCCTGGGTAAACGAGCGGAATCGTAATGATGGTGACGATGACACCATCGTCGCTGCAGGCGGCGGCCAGGTACCTGCTGATGACGCGCAGTATGCACGACTGTGAGCGGACATCAAATCTGATGACGTCGAATGGCAGGGCAGCTCCCACCTGCACGTGCAGAGAGAGAGGGTGGCACGGGGGAGAGAAAGACACGAGCGATGGGGTTAGAGGGGAACGGACACTTGCACCTACAAGGATCCCCCGTGTGGCCACACACACAGATACAGACATCCCCCGTGCTGTCAGCAAGCACCTATTAAGGGCGGCACGACACACGAGGGCATGGCTGGCCAACGCCATGCCCCGGCTGCTTTTGTCTCCACAGCGCTGATGTTTACACAAAGTACCAGGTACTTAGTTTAGGTTGAGTCGACTTAGCGGAGGCCCTGGAATGATTCGGACGTTTGTCACCGATGTTGGCTGTAAGCGGGACGCAAACTTGGGTCGCCGGGTTCGTAGTGCAGTGCAGCTCTAACCACATTGCGTCACCACTCCCGCACACACACCATGGGTGTTTTGAAATTTCAGAGCTCGATCCTTGTTTTGCCAAACGCACATATCTGTTTATACACAAACACAATACAGACGCACAACACATAGACAAAGATCCCCCGTATAAGCTTAACAAACTGTTGGGGCAAGTGCAGTTAGTGAGCACCTATGAAGACCAGCACGGCACACCAGTGGCGATGTTTTCACACATCGCACCAGGTAATCATTTGAGGCTGAGTCGACCTAGGGGAGGCCCAGGACTGGTTCAAATAATCGTAACTGGTGTTGGCCGGGAGCGGGAATCGAACGCGGGTTACTGGGTTCGTAGCGCAGCGTGCCCACCACTTCACTACCGACCTTTGTTTTTCCAAACGCACATCTTTTTTTCACACACACACAACACGCACACACACACAACACACACACCTGGGGACACACAACAGCCACCACTCGCCGCTTATAGTAGGTGACGTCACCATGGCGCTTGTGCAAGACTAGGTGCACCTTGAAGCCAGGTAAAGTGTCAAAGGCTCGCTGGCAGGAGGTCAAGGGACAGACCCAGGTTCTTAAGAGTTGACCGAGATGACTGGCAGATGCACCACCTATGCTCCCTACTGTGCCACCTCGCTGCGTTTTAGCTGCCCAACACTCCGCTCGTTGTTGTGAGCGTCGTTCCTCTGCCCTCCATTGTTTTCGGAGGGCGACTGCCAAGTAGCGTCCCACATGAGCCTCCTCCTCCACAGATGACGATCTTGACACCGCTGGTACCAGTCAACGGCACGTCCACCCAGCTCCACATCCTCCCGTACCACATAAAGCCCGGAGCTTCGTATGGAGCAAACAGGCGAGGTATGTTCCATATAACGTTAAGCAGCCGATAAAAAAGATAATTCCCCTCGACTGATTCGGAATGAGACCTCCACTGCCAAGCCGAAGCTGGTTGTAAGCACGCTGCCCATGTATGGGAACTCCACCACTCTCTCCACAACTGCCCCACCGCTCACGGGGAGTGGAGGCGGTGCGGTGAGTCACTCACCTCCCCGTGCAGCTCACGGAGAGCGTTGGTCACAACCAGACGGAACTCCGCTTCGTTCAGTCTCACTCCCTCCTCCTCCCACTCCCTAGGGGTGAGGGGGTGAGGGGGTGAGGGGGGTGAGGAGGGTGAGAGTGTTTCAGCTGCCGTGCCGGGAGATGGAATCGCAAGTCCAGTGCTGCTGCTGACCTCAGTGTCTCAGTGGACTAGGTGAGCACGCTGTGTTTGCTGCTCCAGGCGTTTCAGGAAACCTGTAACCGGTTTTAACCGTTTTATGTTACCGGAAATGCAGAAAACTGAGTTTCAAGCACCCGAATAGAGACAACCTCACAGTGTGAACATAATGACCTGTGTACTGCGTGTGTCCTGTGCATGTACTGTGCATGCAAAGCGTGTGTACTGTGCATGTACTGCGCGTGTATGGTGTATACGATGTGTGTACTGCGTGTGTACTGCGCGTGTATTGTGTGTACTGCACGTGTACTGTGTGTACTGCGTGTACTGTGTGTACTGTGTGTACTGCGTGTACTGTGTGTACTGCACGTGTACTGTGTGTACTGTGTGTATTGTGTGTACTGTGTGTACTGCGTGTACTGTGTGTACTGCGTGTACTGTGTGTACTGTGTGTATTGTGTGTACTGTGTGTACTGCGTGTACTGTGTGTACTGCGTGTATTGTGTGTACTGCACGTGTATTGTGTGTATTGTGTGCACTGTGTGTACTGTGTGTATTGTGTGTACTGCGTGTATTGTGTGTACTGCACGTGTATTGTTTGTACTGCACGTGTATTGTGTGTACTGCACGTGTTGTGTGTACTGCGTGTGTTGTGTGTACTGCGTGTATTGTGTGTACTGCACGTGTACTGTGTACTGCGTGTGTACTGTGTGTACTGCACGTGTACTGTGTGTGTACTGCACGTGTGTACTGTGTGTACTGCGTGTGTACTGCACGTGTACTGTGTGTACTGTGCGTGTGCTATTGTGTGTACTGCGTGTATTGTGTGTACTGCGTGTACTGCGTGTATTGTGTGTACTGCATGTGTACTGCACGTGTATTTGTACTGCACGTGTATTTGTACTGCGCGTGTACTGTGTACTGCGTGTATTGTGTGTACTGCGCGTGTATTGTGTGTACTGCGCATGTATTGTGTGTACTGCGCGTGTGTTGTGTGTACTGTGTGTGTACTGCGCGTGTACTCTTCTCACAGGCGCGCCCGCAGGTAGAACCACTGGCAGTTTGAGTTGATGACGATCTTCTCGAAGGCAGCCTCTCGCCCGCCGGGTCCAACTCGCCTCATCCCGCGTGACCCCTCGACGACCCCTCGACGGTCACAGGGGTTCCTCCTCACGGGGGTTCCTACGACACATCGCATCATCATCATCGTCATCATCATCAGCCGTGAACTATCCACCGCTGGATGAAGGCCAGAGGTCGCAACCGGGTAATCGATACCCGTACCCTACCCGATACCCGGGTACCCGTACCCGGCCGGGTATGGGTACCCGTTTGCGACCCTGGTGCGGCCGGGTACAGGTACGGGTAGACCGTGAGTCACTGGTGAGTCACCGTTTGTCACTCATTTCCCAACGTCTTGTCTCTTCTCACAATTCAAGTTCCTAGAATCAACCCACCCGCGCCTGCAACATGGCTTCATCCCAGAGGTCGCAATCAGGTACCCGATACCCGTACCCTACCCGTACCCGGCCGGGTACGGGTAGGGTACGGGTACGGCCGGGTATGGGTACGGGTACCCGTTTGCGACCCTGGTGCGCCGGGTACGGGTACGGGTAAGGAATCAAAACCCGTTTGCGACCTCTGATGAAGGCATCGCTGCCCTATCCGGGGTCGCCATCTCCCCACGAACCGATTTCGACGCTCCATCTCCGCGGTGGACGTGACCCCCTTGGGCGTGTTGATTCACTCGTTTGGCTGCCACTCTGTTATTAGTCTCGACCACCGGTCCCTTCTGGCCGTGACGGCTCCTGCCCAAGCCTCACTCACGTCTCTTTTAAAATTTTGGATGATGTCTCTAAAACCGTGCATGGCCTCTATCATCCATGGGTGGAAAAAACCCGATTTTTCCAGCGGCAGGCATCGGGTTTTTTCTTTAATACAATTAAACCCGATTTCGGGGAATTAAAAGCTGGTTTAATGAATACGAAACTCTGATCCAAGGCTTTGGCTGCTTCCTCGTCGGTGCTGCTATCATCGTACTCGGGGGGCCGTCGGGCACGGGGTAGTCGTAGAATGCGGCGGGCAGGTTGGTCTTGATGAACACGAGCTTCTCCTCCACAATCGTGGGCACCGCCAGTGAGTTCCTGAGCTCGGAATGGATGAAGCCCATCGTTGAGAAGTTGGCGAAGTGCGGTTCTGCAATTAGAACCAATTAAACCGGATTTCTCCCAATCTCAGATGATCGGGTTTAATATAAAAATACAATTAAACCCGATTGTAAAAAACTCGTTTGTGCCACCCTTGCTATCATCCGTGTGTTCCTCTGCCTCTCGGTCGAATTCGCAGCGTGAATCTCGCCCCAACCCTCCCGCACGCTTCTCCGTGCACTCCCCAGTTGTTATTCCGTCTCGCTTGTCTCTGCTCCACGCATCACAGTCCCTGACCGAGACCTCTCTTCTTCGGGCTCCAATCTGCGGCAGCTACAGAGTGCCATCGCGTGTTCAAGCACCGCACCGCAGGAGAGCATTTACACTGTGCACTGTGACAACACCTCACCACTCTACCACTCTCATCACCACTCACCCCACCACCACTCACCCCACCACTCACCCCACCATTCCACCACTCACCCCACCACTCAACTCCACCACCACTCACCCCACCACCACTCAACTCCACCACCACTCAACTCCACCACTCACCCCACCACCACTCTCCCCACCAATCACTCCACCACCACTCACTCCACCACCACTCAACTCCACCACTCAACTCCACCACCACTCTCCCCACCACTCACTCCACCACTCACCCCACCACTCACTCAACTCCACCACTCAACTCCACCACTCAACTCCACCACTCAACTCCACCACCACTCTCCCCACCACTCACTCCACCACTCACCCCACCACTCACTCAACTCCACCACTCAACTCCACCACTCAACTCCACCACCACTCTCCCCACCATTCCACCACTCCACCACTCACTCCACCACTCACCCCACCACTCACTCCACCACTCACTCCACCACCACTCAACTCCACCATTCAACTCCACTACCACTCACAGTATCCCCAACACTCACCCCACCAATTACCGCACCACCACTCACCCCACCACCACTCTCCTCACCACTCACTCCACAACTCACCCCACCACTCACTCCACCACTCACTCCACCACTCACTCAACTCCACCATTCAACTCCACCACCACTCACAGTATCCCCACCACTCACCCCACCACTCACCGCACCACCACTCACTCCACCACCACTCTCCCCACCACCACTCTCCTCACCACTCACTCCACCACTCACCCCACCACTCACTCCACCACTCACTCCACCACTCACTCAACTCCACCATTCAACTCCACCACCACTCACAGTATCCCCACCACTCACCCCACCACTCACCGCACCACCACTCACTCCACCACCACTCTCCTCACCACTCACCCCACCACCACTCACCGCACCACCACTCTCCTCACCACTCACCCCACCACTCCACCACTCTCCTCACCACTCACCCCACCACCACTCACCGCACCACCACTCTCCTCACCACTCACCACTCACCCCACTCTCCTCACCTCTCCTCTTCTCACGGGAGACTCGCAGCTCTGAGGGGGGTGGGGGCGGGGCCAGCGCGCGCGCCTCGAGATTCTTCTCGCAGCTGACGCAGCCGCCGCTGCTGCTGCTGCGTCAGCTGCTGCGTCAGCTGCCCCGCGTCGCGTGGCGGCCATGTTGGTAAGGGGGTAGACGCCTCTCTGGGAGAGTAACACGAGGCAGGCTTTGGACCACCAATATTTCTCGGTTTGAAGCTTTCGTGACTGCAAGGATTCATATTCTTAGGTTTATTTTACTTTTATTAATTAATTTTTTTTACCTACGTGACTTTACCGAAACAACATAAGAATACCACCAATATTATAATAATAGAGGTTTTTTTGGTTAAATCGCGCAATTATAAATGCGTCGTAACCATCCACCAACCAGGACACAGGCAATCAGTCAGGGATTTATCACGTAAACTAAACAACGCGCCAAAAAATTAGGGGCTGTCCATAAATGACGTCACGCGATTTTGGACGATTTTGTCGATTTTTGGCGATTTCTGACCCCCCCCCCCCTTCGTCACACGACGTCACAAAAAGTCAGACCCCCCCCCCCCTCAAATATGACGTCACAAAGCTCTGCCTCCCCCCCCAAAAATAAAACAATGCTTCAAATCGCTTTAAACTATTGTCATTGTAGTGCGTATTTAATGTGGCGCTGCACTCTGATGTTGTAGGAGAAAACATTTATTAAAAAGTCTAATTAAGTATAATGTGTTGTCTATATTTAAAGTTGCGCATTTTGATGTGACGTCACATTTTTCAAACCCCATCCCCCTCGTCATGTCTGACCCTCCCCCCCTCTAGGTGCATGACGTCATTTATGGACGGCCCCTTACTACTTCATCCCACCTGTGTTATTGGAGAGTAAATGCACATTTCCCAGAGCCCCCCCCCCCGCTCCCTGAGCAACATGGCCGCCAAATTACAAAACGCTTTAATTTGGTCCCCTCGACGAGACGGACCGTACCATTATGTCTCCGAGGTATCTCTTTGAGAGAGAAAAAATTCATCGGACACAATAATTAATCAATCTAACCTTTAAAAACACGTGATCAATAGCTTATTAAATTATATATAAACACGTTTAAGCGTGTTCAATTGCAACGCCCGTACTTTAGATGGTCAACTATGCAATAGAATACTCCGATTCCCCCCTTCATTACGTAATGGTACATTCCACCGTCGTCTTTACGACAGCGGCCCGGAGCGGTCTTTGCGACACCTGGCACGTGCTTTGTCCGTGGCCGCGCGCACGTGGTGGGTGGGGTCAAGTGTGAGGAGCTTGCGTCTCTTCCAAAGTCGTCTAGGCCAACGTGGAAGAGTAGACCAAATACCCTCGGCTAAGGGGCCGTCCATAAATGGCGTTACGCGATTTTGGACGATTTTTTACCCCCCCCCTCAAATATGACGTCAAAAAGCTCTGCCCCCCCCCCCCCCCAAAATAAAACATGCTTCAAATCTCGATTTAAAGTTTTCGTGACTGCAGGGATTCATCTTCTTGGGTCTTTCGGTAAAGTCACGTAGAAGGGAAATAATAAAATAATTCTCACGATGTTTCGGCCACAACGCAAGCAGCCGTCCTCAGGTGAAGAACAGGTCTGTCAGAAAGACAGCGTCTGAATGACAGAAAAAAAGTTTATTTGTTTGTTTAACCAGGTAAGAGCTTCGTTTCGAAGAGTGACATGGGTCATTGAAATGACGAGGAATATACATTTTTAAACCCATACTAGCAGAAGTACCCGGCGTTGCCCGGGTGAAAAATATATTTCTTAATAACCTTACATATATACACAGATGGGCTGCTACCCCCCCCCCCCAGCCACGATCTCCTCGGCCGCTGTGCAGTAATATGTACGGCCTATAGTGTGGTGGGGTGTCGAGGCCTAGTACCGTGCAGAGCCTCCGGCCTCGCCTAAATTGCCCACCCGGCTGAGGCTGGGTACGGGTGCCGTTCCCCCCCCCCGCGCTACAATAATACTGTCTAATCGCTATAATTTTATAATCTACCGACCCTATAATAGTAATTGCACACATTGTGGTGGGGGGGGGGGGAGTGAAGAGGACGTGAAACTTTGATGATTTTACCTCAGAGTCGCGTGTTAATGCGTGCGCCTATTTTTAACGGGAATTAAAAATGGCATCCACCCCGCGGCGAATGCGTCGCTACCCGTTGCTAGGGGCAACCGCCGGACCAATCGTGTCTCGCAAATCCCTGACATTTCGTCCAATGAAACTGCGTATGGTCCGATACACAGACACACACACAGACAGACCGACAGACAGACAGATTTGCGATTTTATATATATAGATAATGTGACGTTGGTGTTGACAAAACATCCCAAAGCTGAGAAATTTTCTGGAAATCACTCAACTGGGAACGCACAGCGGCAGCAACATCGTCATCCCCTTCCCTATTGAGAAAACTTGACAGGACTCGGGTTTCCACGGGTGGAACAGCCTAACAAAGTACAACCGTGGTTCAAATGGAACTCGGAGCAAAAGCCTCACAGAGTCCCAAGTCTCGATCTCAGGGTACCTGGTAAATCGGGATCCTTGGCCAGGAAGTCCATTCGCGTGGCAGGAAACTTTAGAAGCCCGGAGAAAACCCCCATCAGGTGAGGGAGACAGCTCTGTTACACGGTGGCTAGGAGATGTTAACTAACTCGCCTGGTATACAGGAGGTCGTGGGTTCCATCCCGACCCTGGCGCATGCTGCTGTATATTTGGAGTTTGCGTGCCTCTCTCTCTCATCATCATCACGGTGGCTAGGAGATGTTAACTACCTCGCCTGGTATACAGGAGGTCGTGGGTTCCATCCCGACCCTGACGCCTGCTGCTGTATATTCGGAGTTTCCGTGTCTCTCTCTCTCATCATCATCACGGTGGCTAGGAGATGTTAACTACCTCGCCTGGTATACAGGAGGTCGTGGGTTCCATCCCGACCATGACGCCTGCTGCTGTATATTCGGAGCTTGCGTCTTCTCCCCGTGGTCGCGTGGATTTTTTTATCCGTGTCCTCCGATTGTTCCCTCCACATTTAGAAACATGCGTTTAGAGTATGTGGCTGCTTTAAATTTCCACGTGATGATAATCCACTTCGTTGAGCCATCATTTGTGACCAGGTCTGTGAGCCTTACCTGGTAAAATACTGACCATCTTACAACAACTCCTCTCCCGCGGCCCATCCTGGCTCCTCCCCCCTTAACCAGCATATATAAGGTCGGGCCTCTTGGGACTTCTCTTTACTTGATACAGCAATTTTGCCGTGACGGTTTCACCCGAAGACGGAAGCTTGTGTTGCCTCCGAAACGTCGTGATTTATAATTTTATTTCTATAAAAAATGTTCTATTATTTTATTATTATTTATTATTATTATTATTTATTTTTTACCTACGTGACTTTACCGAAAAAACCTAAGAGTATGAATCATTGCAGTCACGAAAGCTTCAAATCTAGAATTAATGGTAAAATAAAAAGTTGTTTTGTTCACTGTCGTAACGCCGCCGCGTTTATCCATGCGGTGGCGCTGTGAGTCCATCTCCACACTGCCGGTTGAGTTGAAGTAGTGAAACCAGGCGAGAGTTCTTTCTGGGTCTCCAGAATGACACAAGCAATACGGTAACTCCTCGCCTAACGCGTGGTGTTTACACGACGCGTTTCACCATTTAGGAATACTTTCTCGCACAACGCGGAAGGCACACCGTTATACGTCGAACGCGCCAACCGCCCCCCCCCCCCCCCGTTATAACGCGATTTCTGAGCGGTCCGACGAACCACTTTCTTGAGCTGCATGGAAGAAAATTAAGATGAGAGGAAGAACAAGAAAATAGAAATCAGTGTAAGAAAAAACTGTTACAGGAGAAATTAAAAAGAGTGCAAAAACAAATGACTTAGATCAAGTTATTTAAACTGCAATGAAATTTGGTTCTGGAAAATTACTTTTAAGACATGTTTTTTTTAATTACAGAGTGGGATACAAAGTTGCTATAATCGTCATTGCGATGTCATTACTAGATATAATAATTGTTATCGGTGTGGAGAATGTAACATCTTAACCAAGCACGGTCCCTCGCCTCCTTCCCATAAAGGTCCATCCACATAAAATACGTAAAGTATTTTTATAAACATCTCATCAGCCGCGCACATGGTCTTCCTTCTTGCAAGTGATTTTTTTTTCTTCCAGCAGCATTGGTTCAACGCGAGAAAAAAAACTACTCCGGACCAATTTCGACATTCAATATCTCATCAACCGTCAGGTGTGCTTCTGTGTTGCGTTGATAGTTTTACGTCGAACTGGGTAAAAGGCACAGATAACAGAAAGGGTGATCTTGCCCATAAACATCTGGCAGTTACACCTGCATTGCTTCAAGCGAGCCTGACTGCTGATTAGACGCTGAATGGCGAAGCCGGTCCTGATGTTACTTGCGTTGTGCTTATAAGGATCACTCCCAGAAGGTACGTGCAGCTGCTGGGAATGTGCGTGGCGAAGCCGTGGCGAGTTCGATTCATGTTCAGGGCCAACACCGCTGATGATTATCTGAACTGCTCCTGGGACCTTCCCTCGGTTGACCCAGCCGCAAATGAGTACCCCATATGGTGTGCAAACATCGCCACTGGGGAGACAATGGGGAACAGGGCGTCCTGTCGTTGTGTGTCGTCCCGGCGCTCATAGGTGCTTGCGAACAACCCTCGTCTCATTAGTCCTTTAGGGCTATACGGGTGACCTTTGTCATTGAGGGACAGATAAGGGAAGGAGACGCATTGTCTGCTGAGCTGTGCTGTTATTTAAGGACTGGCCACGTGGACGTTTAACGCGGACCAAAGTCGGCTCAGCGCGGACCATTTTAGGTCATCGCCGACTTGGAAATAGAATTTTGCTCTGAAGATGTTCAGCTGTGAGTCACCGCCCGCGAGGCTCCACGTGCAGCGAACACTGCGGAGATGAATCGCGAAGAGGCAACACGCGGCCCTCCTGCTGTTGCCGAAGCCGCGAACAACCGAGAC